AGCTGCTGCAGTCTCCTCCTGAACCCAGCGGTTCCTGAGCTCCAACACGTCGAGGTAACACCCTCACTCACTTGTGCCCATTAAAAAATCCCGAGGGATTTTGTTGAGCATGACAGAGACTTGGGTAAAATGAGTCTTTAGGGCCCAGGATTTTCACAGGGGGTTTAGGAACCCGCTGCGTTTCCCAGCCATGGATGCTGTATCACTGTGTTCAGCACGTCTCGGACTCCTCTGGGAACAACAGGCTGCTTCTCCTTCTCAGTTGTCTCGTTAGTCTTTTCAGTAAAAGCTGTTAAAAAATGTGGCGTGTGGAAAGGCTGACAGGTTTGTAAAGGCAGATACTAGTTCTGCCGTTGAGGACTGGCTGTGGCCACGGTGGAGACAGGCAGGAGGCAGCTGAAGGGTTGCAGTTCTGCTTGGTTCTTGCAGCTCCAAGTTGTGCAAACCCCAACCAGCTGTTTTTTTTTTTTCCCTCTGCACCCCAGGCAAAACCATCTTTCCTTCCTACCTCCCTCTACTTTTCCTTGTAATTGAAGTCTCCTGGAATTTTTCTTTTAAATGAGTTCATAGACATGCCACCTCCCATCAAGAGCAAACTGCTACCACCCTCATCACACTAGTGCTGCTGTCTTCTCCTCAACAAGGAATCATTTTGCCTGCATCATTCGGTGAATATACATTTGGCTTATGTTAAAAGTCACAAACTATCACTTGCTAGTGTTTTTATTTTCTATCACAAGAGAATATATATCATTAATGGATTTTCTGCCTATTTTTGTGAGGAATTAAATGAGCCTGTAAGCCCACAGTTGCCTAGCAATACAGGCACAGAACCACAGTACACCACCACTTCTTGGTAAAAAAAAAAAAAAGAGTATTAAGAAAGCAGAGGCAATGACAAGCTCGCACACGGTTACGAGTGAAGGTTGATTAGCGCTGTTTTCAGGAACGAGCTCGGTGCCACTTGGCCTGGGAACGTTCATCAGTCAAAGAACACAAGCATCTCACACGCAAGCCACCAGCTTAGTAAGGAGCAAGGAGGACGGCAGCAGTAACGAGGTCACTGAGGTTTAGAGCGATGATTTATCGGCTACATCCGTTCCCAATACCAGACTTTCACCACTTAGGACATCAATGCTGTAATCCAGTGACAGGCATCGAGCTGCAGGCTTGCCAAAAGCAACCAGGGAAGGTATGATGTGCTGAGATCACATCGCTGACATCAGCGGACTTCTAAACCTCTACCACAGCAACTCAAATTGCATGACGAATCAGGATTTCAGGACACTGTGGTGGTGGCTGTAATTGCATCTGAGATGATACGTGGGTGAGGAGAACTCATCTACCAGTGACTAAAGCTCTGCTGGTAACTCCTCATCGGTGTATCAGATTTATAGCACTGGCACACTGGGGCTGTGTGTGAAAGGGGGCTCACAGGCTAAAGCGATGTCGTGAAGATGTGAAAAACGTGAAGTCTAATTATTGCTGCTGTGATGAGCAGTGAGATGAAAGAATAATGAGCAGCACATTCATTATCTAAATCACTAATAAAGGTTTACACTAGGTACTCGTGGCACTGGAGAGGGGAGGACACTAAGCAAGAAATGGTCAGGTGGGACGTTCAGGGCAAGAAGTGAATACGGTGCTGCTGATGGATGGAGCTTGTGTGTGTGCTTAGCACAGGGTAACCAGTTCGCTGACTAGAGAGTGAATAACAGATGGGCAACAGAAAACGATGCACAGAAACAAGAGATTAGAGCATGCACAGCAGAGAGCGGCAGTGCAAATTCTTTGTCATAATTTGTAGGTTTGCTGCATTTTTCCTGCACACTGCCTGATCACCTGCACAAGGCACGTTATCTACTTGGTGGGTCTATGTAAAATGACCTGTATCTGCATGACAAATCATAGAATCATAGAATGGTTTGAGTTGGAAGGGACCTTCAAAATCATCTAGTTCCAACCCCCATAGGGTCCCATGGGCAGGGACACCATTGGCTAGATTAGGGTGCTCAAAGTCTCATCCAGCCTGGCCTTGAACACTTCCAGGGATGGGGCAGCCACAACTTCTCTGGGCAACCTAGTCCAGTGTCTCATCACCCTCAGAGTGAAGAATTTCTTCCTCATATCTAACCTAAATCTCCCCTCTTTCAGTTTAAAGCCATTGCCCCTTGTCCTATCAAGGGACAAATCCTCTAAAGGTGTGCAGTTGGGTCAGACTGAGAGTCTGGTCCTTTGAAGAGACAGGATAAGAAACGCTCTCTGGAGCAGGCAGCAGAAGAGAATAGGAATGAGAAAAGCTGATCTGGTACCTGGTAGGATGGAAAGACAAGAGAGGGCTCTGAAATCTGCAAAGGGCATGAGGACGCTGTGTGGGAGAATGTTTCTGTAATTAAAGGGTATTGAGAGACCTGGCTAATTTGGAGGCACATGCTTAGAGAAGCATGTGTTGAGCCCTTCCCAGCAATGCAGAATCTCAGCACAAAGAGCTCTTAAAACGTAGCCCTGGGGGAGAAGAGCTGCGGCTGCCAGCGCAAAGCAGCTGTGAAGTTGAAGCCTTCCTTAAAAGCCTCCGCAGCCACCTGCAAAACCTCACTCGAAAGCTTTCAAGGGAAAGACAGTTTTGAGTTGTCTTTAAAGCTCCCAAGGGACTTGAGGCTATAGCTGCACTGGTGGGCAACGCCGGGCTGTGGGAACAGACCTGTAGCACGGTGAAGATGGAGCTGATATCCACTTTGGCCCATCTCTCTCCTCACCTGCAGGATGCACCTCCCAAAGCACTCTCCTAATGCGTGGGATAGGGATGGCAGAACGGTGGTGAGAAGCGGGAAATGAGGAGAGAGCTGAGGTGTCTTGCCTTCTCCCTCCCTTTCCTCTGGAGAGCACTGAGATGGGTGGGAGGAAGGGCAACCCCCGCACCCTCCTCCTCCTAAGGGAAGCTGAACCCCCGTTTATCACCTGCTTGGCGGATGCTCAGACCATCAAAAGCTGGAGGATACCCTGAGGCGAAGCTTTATTGATATGTATTACTTTGAAACAATGAATATTTCATTACTGGAGAGAGAGAGAGAACATGAATCAATAATTCAGGAGTAAGGAAAGGGGAAGGGATGAGTTCAAACCATTGCTGGAAAACGCGCTTCACTTTTTGAAACAAACTGTGGTTTCTTCAAAACCCACCTTAATTATATGCACCTACAATCTTTTCAATAGAGTCTTAAAGACACTATACTCATCAAAGGAACGATCACCCCTTGTCCCATCACGCTAATCACTGAAAAACATTTAACATCAGGTTTCAAAAGATGATTTTCTGCTACCTTGGGCAGGTGTGAGAGCAGAGACCACAGAAGCGCTGGCTGGAGGGGCCTCCTGGAAGTCATCGCTGATCCAGCCTCCTTCTGGAGTCAAGGGAAGAGAGAAGAGAGGGAAAACGGGGTTGAGAAACACCAGGAGAGGAAAGAGCAAACCAGAATTTACTGGATGATAAAAGTCACGAGGAAGGAGGCAATGTAGTTACACGCAACGGCAATGATATTTCTGCTCTAATTTCATTTTGAACTGGGCCTTGAAGAAAAAGAGGAGATAAAGGACTGAAGAAAAAGAGAAGACAAAAGATTACTGATACAGAAAAAATATTCCTAGTTTTCCAGTGAAGCAAAACAAGTTGCTTCTTCTAAAGCATTAAGCTGAGATCTCAGTTTCCAGCTAGAAGTATCTGGAATTTCTGCAATTTCAAAGGGCTTAGAAGAAACTCATTTTGCCAAACCCATAGCTCTTTGCCTGGCAATACTGATTCAAACTGTTTACTGCTCAAAAAAAAATATGTTTTGAAATTGTTGAAATACCTTGTTTCCAAAAGCACACATTTCAAATCAAAATCTTCCGACGTGGGGGTTAGAATGGCTTTGTCGGAGTAAACTGCAGAGACCGTTTTCGAATGTGTAAAACGGTGGCATCAAGATGAAACGTTTTACCTCACCGCTCTAAATTTTTAAAATACAGATTGAAGCTATTTTTTCCTATTACTTGTTTTTGTCCTGACAAATCGCACCGGATGTTTTCCCACCCTGCTCTCTCCCTTTGCAGTAATCTGTGCGAGAAGAGCAACACGCTGTGTTACTTGAAGTGGCAGAACACTGGGTGGACGCACATTTTCTTCCATGGACAGCACTTAAAACAGTTTTCCTGTCCTACAGGGAGAGAATTTTTTTATTATCTTGGTTTTAAACACAAAACTTAATATCACCCGTAAGTACAACAGCAGTACCAGCTTTTGCAATTCCTTTGTAAATCTTGCATCGCTGTGAGCACTCGTTTGTTCAATAAGAAGCAGAACAAAGGCTGGAATATCTCCTTAGATTTTCTCACATTAAAAAAAAAAAAAAAAAAAAAAAAAAAGAAAAGAAGGCTTGAGGTATATTTATTTTGGTGAATGCAAAAGTACAGGCATAAGTAGGTTAACTTTAAGCTGACAGGGCAGGGTTAGTTATTAAATAATTAAGTTTGCGAATAAAAATCCTGACAAAATCTCCACTAACTTCAGTAGCATTTGGATATCGCCCCGAGTGCTTTCACAGGAGACATATTTCTTTTTACAGTGAAATACAAGACAAAGGGAAAAGGACATTAAACAGTTCAATATTTGGCACAGCTGGGATCAAGCTGACGCACTCAGACACTAACTTACAGCTTTCTCCCATGCTGTATTTTGTCCACACCTGATGGAAAACCTGGGGCCCTCAGCAGGAGCCCTGCACCGTGCAGGATCAGGCCCACCAGGCAGTCTCCTCTGCGTCCCTCGTGGACAAGGCTGGAATGTTTAGGTGTCTATGGCATTAACACCCACAGGTGTTTTTTTCTGCAGGTCTACTCACAAAAAGCAAACTGTTAAAGACTGGACAAGCTGGTGCATCCTGAGGGTCACACCTGCCTCTGTGGCTCACCTGCAGTCGTGCGTTTGCATCTTTGAATGCCTCCTCAGCTCTTTTTCTTTGCAGATTCATTCACGGGACTCATCAACATCATGACTGAGATCATCTGGCGCTACACTGGGGATTTCATGGCTCCTGACATTGTTTGCAGAGTCGTTCGTTACTTTCAGGTACAGAAACCTCGTGCTCCGCCGTATGCCCAAGCTTTCACGGCTTTGTGTCCCTGCAGGAATAAACTCCGACAGAAATGCTGTAGAGACTTTTTTTTCTAGCATCAGAAATGCTAAAAGCTGAAAGTGTTCATTTACAGTTGAAACATTTTTAACCAAAGCATATTAGATCTTAAATTTTGTGGACGTAAAGGAAAAAGATCTGGGTGAAAATACAAGGGGTTTTTTATTTTTTCTTTTTTTCTTTTCAGTAAAACTTTTCAAATGTTTTTAGTTCAGTGTACTTGCTGGCATTATTTGCTGCAACAAATGTGTCTCAACTGCTCCCTCATATACCTTCTGCCCCAGGTGGTCCTTCTGTATGCCTCGACATACGTCCTCGTGTCCCTGAGCATAGACCGCTATCATGCCATAGTTTACCCGATGAAGTTCTTGCAAGGAGGTAAGAGAATTTCTGTACCTTGCTCTTGCTACGGATATTATTGGGTAATTTTTTAGTTTCAAGATTCTTAACCTTGTTGCCATGAATTATTTTGTAGCAACATTTGGACTCCGTTACAGTTTTCCAAATGGCAAAGTTGCTGTGGTTTTGAGATTTATTAAGCTGCACTTGGGTCTCAGCAGTTTTTATAAGCATTGTGTTAGCAAAGAATGAAATGACATTTTTAAAAGTATAGAGGTTTTCATTATCTTCCAGCATTTTAAGAAGGTTATTATGGGCAAAAGCTGTCCCTCGTACAACTGTACTCACTCTAGAAGCTGCAAGAGCTGTATTGTCTCTTTATTCACAATAAAAAATAACTTGGATAGAGAGTGCAGCACTGAGAATTCATACCATAGTTTGAGAAGAGAACTTCAGACATTTTTAAAAGTATAGAGGTTTTCATTATCTTCCAGCATTTTAAGAAGGTTATTATGGGCAAAAGCTGTCCCTCGTACAACTGTACTCACTCTAGAAGCTGCAAGAGCTGTATTGTCTCTTTATTCACAATAAAAAATAACTTGGATAGAGAGTGCAGCACTGAGAATTCATACCATAGTTTGAGAAGAGAACTTGTAAAGCTATAGCACGTAAGTTTGGATATCTGTTGTTTCTTATAATTTCTTCTATTTGTTATTTTTATAGCACTCAAATATATCCTGGCTGCTTAGCAGTACAATTTAAAGAACGTGATTTCTTTCCTACAGAGCCTAAAATGGGTTGTTAAGTATGTTGCACCGAGTGAATAAACAGAAATAGCAGGTGGGGAGGAGGAGAAACAGTTTCAAGAAGCATGAAGTCTGGAAGATGTGCTTTAATCAAACATAAATATCTTTTTTTTTTTTTTTTTTTTTTCAAAATGATGGCTTTTGACAGCCTGGTCTATTCAGGGGATCAGATTAATGGTCCTTTCTGGCCTTAAAAACCTGGGAATCAATCGTGGCCCAGGCAGTGGTGCAGCTTTGGCAGATGTTAAGGTCTGAAACTTCAAACACTTATGTGAAATATAGCCTCGTATTCCCCAGAGCGCAGACCAACTTTTTCAGACCGGGAAGGATGGGTACCAGGGTTTTCTCAGGGGGCTTTGGAAGATGCAGCACGTGCGGCGTCTCCTGCCGACATCGGGCTGGGGAGGGCTCATCAACCTACCGCCGCTGAGCGGGACGAGCTGTGAGACAGACCCACTGACGTTTTTCCTTTGTATGTGGTCCAGTAAAAGCAGCACTTGTTAAATAACCACTGGGGCTTCGTAAAGAATTTGGTGGTTAATCTTTGCAAACCACCCTGAAGTTGAAAAAAACCCACCAACAACCAAACCACCCCAAATCTTTATAAAAACCTTTTTTTTTTTTTTAACTCAGTCCCGTTTCCTAGATCTATACCATAAAGTTTTTTCTTTCCTTTTTAAGGTGGAGAAGGGTGGACGTTGCACCCGGGCAAGAGGCAGCAGAGCCAGCAGGCGGGTGCAGTGCAGGGAGAGGGGTGAAATAAGGCAGGAGCAGAGCTAACGCTGGCAAAGCCCACCTGCCTCTGGCAAGGGCTGGCTGCTGATGAGCAAGCAAACACCATATTCAAAGGGAAAAACGAGGCAGCTGCAAATCCAAAAGAGGATCTAAAGAAGTACGCTTACCCTAACAACTTCCCAGAATATACACAAATATTCACCTTTTGCACCCAGCTGTTCCTAGCAGAGGTGTTGCAGAGGCTTTTGAAATGCTCTCTTGGCTCTTTTGCAGGCAAAGAATAAAGCGATTTACAAAACTTTGTCATTGGTGATGACACAGAGAAACCTTAAAACCAGTTCTGAGTCAACCTGTGGCAAATAGCATTGTTTTCTTCCTTCCGAAATGAAACACTCATCCCCTAAAATCCTTCAATCAAGGAGGCAAGAAGGTTGTTTCACCTTGCTGCTTTGAAAAATTATGTTTTCATGTAGCCTTGAAATATAATTTTGGGAAAAAAAGTTAAACATTTTGCTTTGAAAAAAAAATTTTTTTTTAAATTGTGGTTTAGTTACTAGCCTCGAGTCATGTTAAAAAACATCAACATGGCTTCTTAGAAAACACACTTCAATACTTGAATATTTTATACTCACTTTACATCCTTAGTGCAGGATTTGGAAGACTTATACGTTCTAATCCTAATGCTTTCACTGTATGAGACACCTAATTCAATAACCAAAGAGGTCATTAAAAAAAAAAATCGTAAAACATGGATCGAAAAGAAAAAACCTGAGAAGTCGTAGCAGAAGACACTTTATGAATATTTCACCATATTGAAAAGATATATGCAAGCACTATACAAACTAAACAGCACATGACAACAGAACTGCTTAAGCGAAAGCCAAAACCCAGTAGGTGTAACCTGTCCCTGGCATGGCTTCGTGCTGCAAACGACACTAAGGTCCACCAGATCAATGAGATTCTGGAACAGCACTCTCTCTGGATTTAAAACCTAATTTTAAAATGGCACTTGCATTGCAGAAGGATTGCATAGCACTGCTGTTCATGGTAGAAAGGACCAAAACTCCTCCCGCACGTTGCTGGGAGCGGGCAGATGTGCCTAAACCCACTGTGGCAGCGCACGGATGGTGGAAGCAGAGCAAAAGGGACCGTGACACTGTCGTGGGTTAGGCCGATCTGGCAACTAAACTCCACGCAGCCAGTTTCTCACTCCAGTAAAGTGGAGAGGAGAAAAATGTAATAAAGGGACTGAGGGTCGAGACAAGAACAGAGGGAGCACCCACCGACCATGGTCCTGGGCAAAACAGACTCGGATTTCTTAAAGCAAAACAATTTATTAACGGTTACTAAAAAGGACAAAGGGAAAAAAAGAACGGTTACTTGAGAGGGTAAAAAGAAACAAAGCCAGATCTTAAAACCGACACCTTCCTTCCCCGCCCCTTTCCTTTTCCTCCTGGCTCTACCTCCTCCCCCCAGCGGCGCAGGGAGCAGGGACTGGGGGAGTGCAGGTCAGTTCATTCCGTGCTGTTACTGCTGCTTCTCTCTTAAAGGAGAAGGAGTCCTTACACCCTGTTCCCTTGCTCCAGTGGATCCCCTACTCACAAGGAAAAATCCACAAACTTCTCCAGCGTGAGTCCTACCTGCAGGATGCAATCCTTCCCCATCGGAT